CTAGTAGTGATGCCAGGAGCTACTAGTAGCTCCTTGTTCCTAGTAGTCAGGCTAGGAGCCCCTAGTAGCGTCCTTGCTCCTAGTAGCGATGCCCTTTGTTCCTAGTAGCTTCTTGTTCCTAGCCTGATAAGAATCATAAGGGTGAGGCTTGTTTTTGTTTCGTCCAACATCCCCCAACTATATGGATCACGAATCATGTTAGCAAGGAGAAGCGAGCCAGCCAGAAAGTGGGGATCTGTGAAAGCACTGTCTGGATTAGAATGGCAACCACTCTGATTGATGATAGCAGTAGTTTTTTGAGCAAGTTGAAGTAAGTGGGAGGATCCGATCATCCTGTCTGCTCATTCTTTCCTTCCGCGTTGAACCAATGAGAACTGTGTTCGTCTGAAGAATCTTGATCTTTTCTCATGTTAGAATTCCCTGAAATTCAACACAGTCTCTATCTTCTCACCTTGCATAATTCTTTTACTTTTCTTCTCCTTCTTCTTCGCCACATGCCTTCTGTTTTCTCCGTTCCTGTTCTCTCCAACTCCTATCATCGGCACACAAATAGATTCTCTTTTCAGCTTCCATACAATTGCCTCTCCCATCCGAAATGCGTAACACCTCCAACTGTACAGGACCATGTCCCTTCAGTCAAAATGCAGCTTGAAAGACAATCTTTGCTTTTTCCTTCAAAAACTCACCCATGGTCCTGAACCATCATCCAAGGCTGGCAGGCAACTGGACGCAACGCCGCGCACTCCAACCCCTAAATGTTGGCCGTGCGGCGGCCCTGATCACTTTGTTCGCCGCTTCCCAGTCCCTTCGGCCGGCCGGGCCACTTGCGAAAGTGGCTCTTCACCCGAGTGGAGTGGGATTGTTGGTACCTTCCATTCAGAATCGATAGCGAAGCATCAAGAACCATCAACAACCCAGTGTGAGCACACGCCAGTAAGGGGGTTGCAAATATAGTACATTGCAAGGTACGAAGTCTATCTAAGTGTTCCCGCCGTGTTGTTGATGAAGGGTGCCACCTGCCGAACTGGTCTTATCAAGGCAAGAGGTTCTTGCCGGAAATTTGAAAGTCGCCGAGGCCCTTTTGTTCATGCTTTTGTCTGCTTGAAAGAGAAGTGCGGGGAGACAGTTTGCAAAATCACGACCGATAGATTTTGCGAACATGAAACATCTTTCGAGTATCTCCCCTGGGTGATTTGAGCAAAGACTGTACCAAAAACCGTTCCCCTGTATCGAATCAGAGCAACGTAGTCAACTTCAAGATCAATGAATTCAGTGTTTGTTAGTTTATTAAATATCAAAAAAAACTAGGAACCAAATCATGTGTGCGAGCGCTTTCTTGAAGAAGTGTGAACTATCCTGCGTCCAGTAACTAGCAACTTAAGTAAGGTAGTAGCTACCTAGTCTCTACTAGCTACGGGCTTGGCCTACCCTTCCACAGCTAAAATAACAGAAAACACAATTTAAAAAAACATATATATATATGTACATCTATATATATATATGTATGTGTGTGTTTTACTATTTGTTGTCAAAAAGAACGCTGCGAGCTGCGAAAGGCTTTGAATCGAGCTTTGCTGAGCGGCGTGAGGATTCCGGCGTCGAAATAGCTTCGTGCCACCCCGTCCCGGCCCAGCTCTGCCGCACGGTAGAAGGCCTGACCGGTGAAGGTTTCGATTTTGGTTTCAATACCCAGCCTTAAAACGACAAGTCTGCTCTGAATGCAATCCGGTCCAGAACAACCAACGGAAAATGATGAAAACTCCGATGAAGATAAATCAAATGATTGTCCGTTTTGTTGTGGGGACAAATTCTCATTACGTTCGATGGCTGCCCAAAAAGAAATATTGCAAGAACCAAACAAGCCGGTATCTAGGGATCTGGCAAGAAAAACAGCACGTCGACGACTGGAGGTTATGTAATCAAAGTTCTCCAATAAGAACCCCAAAGGACAACTTGCATGTGGATTCTGTTTCTTGTTTTTTGGACGATATACATATATAGTTATTTTTTTCATCTTCGTTTTCCCGGGGGCGTTGCGAAGGGTTCTTCTGTAGAAATCTTTTGCGTAACGCATCTGCATCAATACATTGAGGACGCTGCATTTGTATGTATGCTGCAAGTACATCTGCAGCTTGCAGGTGTGGTCATCTAGATCTGCTGCTACGGAGGTGGTATGTATGCTGCAATAGGTATGCTACAAGTACATTTGCAGCTTGCAGGTATGGTTGTGTAGATCTGCTGCTACGCTAGCATTGCTTTGGTGCTGGGATCTTGCTTTGGTGAATTGCTTTGGTGCTGGGACTGGGACCTTGCTTGGGTGGATTGCTTTGGTGCTGGGATCTTGCCTAAGTAAAAGTCACTCTAATATAACTTTTGCTGGGGTCTTGCTTCAGTAAACACTTGCGCAGCAATAAACATATGTTACCGTAGAGTGAAACATATGTTTGTTCACACGTGCGTGACACATCTCGGCTCTTTATCTGTTCTTGCTGAGGCCGAGGCCTGACAGGGCTTGCGAAATGTGACCCTATGCGGAGATCGTGCGTGTTGAGCGCTCTCAAGTGTGAGGCGAAATGCAAATTTTGCGCGAGCGCAACCCTCTGCGGAGATCGTGCGTGTCGAGCGCTCAAAAGTGAGGTGAAATGCAAATTTCGTTACCGGAGGGTGTAACTGGCGTCGAAGTTGACGGTGGAAGGTAACTGTTGGTGGAAATGGATCCGGAAGTTTCAAAGTGTGTAACTGTCGTCCAAAATGAAGGTGGAGCTTGCCAAAGCGTGCAACTGCCGAAAACGAAGATGGAGGTGGCCTCAGAACTGGCCACTTGGTAGTACAAGAGCAGCTTCTGGGAGCTGTGGCGGGAGAACGTAGTTAGTGCAAATGTCAGTGGGAAGAAAACTCTTACCAGATGTGGTGGCGTTCAAGAAGTGGCAATTTTGTAGTGCAAATGCGGCGCGTAAATTGCAACCAGTTGAGGCTGGAATAAAGCCCACAAAGTCATGTCGCATAACGGTTTCCCTCTCGTATGGTTTCCTTATAAACAGTAATATGAAATAGGGTTTCCCATCATTCATCATGGTTTTAACACAAGGAGTGGCACTGAATTCAACTGCCAAGTTGTGCCAGCTCTTTCCATTTGTCGGTCAATGCGGCATATTCTTCCAAACACTTTAGCTGCTGCTGCTGCTGCTCGTCGTCTGATCCAATGGGACCATCATCTTCGTCTTCGTCTTCGTCTTCGTCTCCGTCTTCGTCTTCAACAATTGACAAAACAACCAACCAACCAACTTGAACCAATCAAATCAAACTATTCATTCCTTTCAATGGCAAAGCAGCGATTTAAGGCGCTTGTCCTATCCCGACGACACCTTGCCCTGTGCGCAACATTCATTCCTCCTCGGCCTAATTCTTTTTCCGTGGTCGTAGTGCAACTTTTCCAGCAGCTTAAATTCTTCACCTTCTTGTCAGCATTGTCGTCGTGGTCGCCGTCGCCATCATCGCCGACAGCGTCAGAAAGCCAGATTATTGCAAGTAAGTGTGTCAAGTAGTCTTTGACGTTGACACTTCTCTTCAGGGTTTCCAGGTAGAATGTGTTTCGGGAAGGTGCTAGGTTGAAACTAGCCGCGGTTGACATGGGCAATGAACTCGCAGACTGCTCAATCAGAGTTTTACAGCCATGCCATGCTGTGCCACTCACAGATTTTGTGAACCATGTCATTCAACGCAGTGGCATGTTTGCTTCACCCCCCCACTGGCTTTACCTTTTCATCCTTCTGGTTGCGATGCCTCCTAGCGTTCTTCCGCTCACTTCTTGGTTTGCTTGGGCCGCCTTTTTACGTTTTTTGCATTTGCTTCTTCTTGTGTAGAGTAGATGCTTGCAAAGATCTGGGCCCCTGGTAGCATCTTCCAAAGTTTTGGCGGCGTGCAGGACTCAATGTCGCTGATGGCCCAGGCGTCAAGGACATTCTTTCCCTCAAAAAGGGTTTCCGGAAAGCCGTCAAGAGAACCCATCTTCTTGTAGCTGACCGGGTTGCCAAAGAATCTGTCGTAGATTTTCGCCATCTTGATTGGCCGGGGGCCTCTTGCCATTCTCGCTCCTGATCCCTAACTGGAAGGAATCAACTAGGTCAAGCTCCCCGACCAGCATCTGCCTGCCAATGACCCCCAAGCAGTATCTTCATCGTTTCTTTGTATTGAATGACCACACCTCCCACCGGTTTCCATGGCGCAGGATTTTTTGGCACCATTTTTCCTTCACTAGGCCACCCACTCACGCCTGCCTGGCTGCGCGGCTGGCTGCAGTGCAGCTGTTGCAAAGGAGATGCGCTGGGCTTTGGGAAGAGGAAGGCCTGATTCACTCTACATCCTGCAGCACCCCAACAACTTGGCCTGCCCTAGTTTATCGCTCTCGGCTTTTTCCTACATGTCATTCGTAAAAGGACAACACCGGATGGGTGGGACAAATACCACAACTCCACCTTCCAAACTCGACCCATGGGTCACTCCAAAACAGAGGGATGTGTCCAAATTACGTCTGTGATGTCGCTGTGCCACGCGGTTTTGCGCGACCTTGGTGCGTGAGTCCGTGCCACTACTGGAAGGAAAACGCGCTGGTGTAAAGTCGGTTTGTCGGGAGCGGGATGATTGGCGGTGTCCACGAGTCTCATCACTACATCCGTAGTATTTATACATGTCTCTTACGCGCACCCTCTTCTACAACCTTTCCTTCCAGCCATCCGTCGTCTAGTTTTCATTTTCATACTTGGAGAGACCTGATGCACCACATCTCACATCACTCGCCTTGGCGCCCAGGTGGTCGGCCACGTCGGGTGAAGCCTTAGCGGCGAAGAGCTCGCGGGCCACATCGTCGTTGGACGCCAGGTGCAGCGCAGTCTCGCCGGTGTCGCGGCCTCGATTTGTGGGTCTTCTAGGTTGGAGGCCATCGCGATTAGAAACAATCAAAACTTAATTAGATTTGAAGTAGAAATAATCAAAAGGGAAAAGGAAGAACGGTCTATTATGGTTTGCTATTGGAGGCCGCTTCTAGGTTGGAGTCTCGCCGGTGTCGCGGCCCCGGTCTCTCAGTCTCGGTCTCGCTTTGGCAACAGCTGCGATCCCTGTCTTCCCCAAACTCTGGGTCTTTTAGGCTGCTCTGCTAGGCACTAGTAGCTAACTGGAAGCAGGAAAGCGCGATCACACTATTCATTTGGTTCTGAGATTTTGAGTTGCCACCTGCCCTGCAGAGAATGCTTATCGCACTGTCAAGAAACGGCAGAGTTGCATCAACATCCTTTCTATTGACTTTGCTGGGTTGGTTTGCCAAGGTGTGCCACGGAATTCCCAGCTTCAAAACTGCCAGCCCTTCAAGGGGGTCCTCGAAACACCAGTTTCCATCGGATGTGAAGGCGCAAAGCGTAGTCAGTCGCACGCCTACTGAAGCCCATCGCTTCTAGGTTGGAGGCCATCACTAGTAGAAACAATGAAAAAATAATAGGAAGACACGATCACATCCAGGGCGCTCTGCGCGTCCACGTTCGCAGCACTGGCCAGCAAGGCCCGGACGATCTGGCCCGGAGCTTGCGCAAAGAGCAACAAAAAATGGTTCAACAAGAATTTAGAACGACCTTCTAAATGGTAAACATGTTAAAGGACACCTGGGATCACCCTGGGCACCCTTATAGAAAAAAAGGTAGATTTTGTCGGCCAGAAACAAATTGTGAGAAACGTACCAAGGCTGAGCAAACAGCTTGTTTGTTGCGACCCGGCCATGATGGTTTCTATGGTTATTGTATATAAGAAAGCAAGCTTCTTATTCACCTATTTTTGTTAACAAAGGTCAAGCTTTTAGGTGTTTACCATGCATGGGCCTCGCGGCCGCTCGCCTAGCCCATCCTCAGCAGGGACTTTTCAAAGCTGGAGTTGCAATGGGAAGTTTGCAACAACCAGCCAGTGACCACAGCATCCAGTCGTAAGCAGCGAGCAGAACAACCGTGGCTTCTTCTGAGCTTCAAGAAAGGCACAGCGGCTTGCAAGGGGGCAAACTCAATTGTTTGAGAACATCCAGTTGTTGCAGCTGCAGACGACACAAAAGTAGCAACAAATTGGGCAACAAATGGCTCAGAGTGAGCGTGAGTAGAGTGCACGGCTGTTTCAGTTGCATTTTCGTGGCAGGCGAAGCGAATCGTGAGTGCAATGTTTGCTGGAGGTGAATGTCGCTGTGCCATTGAGATTGGTGTGTCAGCGAGCGTGGTTTTGAGGGGCTGGGATTGCGAAACTGCTTGGCAGGGCTGCTTGATGTGTTCGCTCCGATGAGACTTTCCGCATCACTTTTTGGAGGATGTCTTGTACGACACGCTCGTTTTCGAGAATTGACGTGTGACTTTTGGAGGGTGTCCTGTACGAAGCGCTCGTTTTGGAGGCTTTGATGCTTGACCTTTGGAGGAAGCCAACGAAAAAACTCGTTTTGTCCCAGAAGAGCGTCTCCTACAAGAGTGCCCTCCAAGAGCGTCCTACATGTTTGCCCATTTGTTTTCCAGTGCGTGTGGATGGTTAAGGGAATCTTAAAGGACACCGGACACCTGTAAATGGCGACCCTCATGGGGACCCCCCTGGTGAATAAAGAGACACACACACACATGGAATCTGTCCAAGCAAAGCCAAAAGCACACCAAGGCACTCAAGATTTTGCTGGGAACTTTGTGGGGCACTTCATTCACGAGGGATGTGCAAACGCTGGGAACATACAATCGAAATGCCAGTTTTACATAGTTTTACTTTGAATCTAAGTTTGGCCTGGTAAAGCTTCCCAAAAACTCTAGGAACCAAATCATTAGTGCGAGCGTGAGCTATCCTGCGTCCTAAGTAGTAGCTTAGGTACTAGCTACATCTCCCTTACTGAATTAAGCGCCAACTTAGTTAAGTAGGGAGGAGGGGGGAGGGGGCTCAAGAAAGAAGGCCGCACACCGCTCGCCGCTTCGCCTGTGTGGAGCCTTTGGCGGAGGCCGACTGCAAAGGCGTCAGGCCATTCAGCGGCTGATTGATGTCCGCACGGGTGGCCAGCATGCAATCCAGGATCTCAGCGAACAAACGGCGGCTTGGCTGCGGTTGGAGTTTAGTTTCCCTTTCAAAGTTGCCTTATTTTTTTCATCTCTTTTCCCCTTTCATGGCAGGCTTTGAACTAGTTGAAGCACCAGTTCCTGAGGCTCTACAAAAGGGCATCCTCTCATGACCTCGGGCGTTCTGTTCCCAATACCCTTGCTGGCTTGCACACCCGGACAAATGCAATTCATGGCATCTCTGTAGCTTGGATGGTTTCAATGCTTAAATTGTCTCTCACAGTTCAACACACCGATCGCCACACAACCCCCGCCTCCATGTGCTCCCTCTGAACGGCCAAGTGCAAAGCCAAGTGCAAACCTTGGCAAAAGAAAACATGTTTGGCTTTACTCCAGGACTGATGACAAAGCACATGCCGGGGTCTCCAAACACGGCTTCCACTGTGAGCAATAGCGAGAATAACAATCCCGAAAACCAACTTACAAATGGGCAAATAGAGTTTAAGAGTCCACGAGAAATATTATGACATAACAAAAAACAAAACAGTTAGCCCATCGCTACTAGGGTGGAGGCCATCGCTACCAGGAAGAAAGGTCTAATATACTTTGCTATTAGCCACTTAGCCCAACAGTGCATCTTTTTGAAGGGTCCCTTTTTGACGTGCACTGGCCGGTGCCGAGGCGAGCGGCAGTTGGCAGTGAGCTGTGCTTTCGCACTCAACAGCGATCGCACCACAAAACCGTGGCCGTTCTCGATGGCCAGGTCCCTACAAGGCGACGAGTGGATGCCCAGGTTCACCAAAAACGTGTTTGGACCCTCTTGTTAATATCAAAAAATATGAATCAAAGTGGGGAGGTCAGCGCTATCGCTGGCGCCACAAGCCTAGTTTAGATGATTGTGACATATTCCGAACCCACTTGAAGGTAAAGTGACTCGTTTGATAGGGGTTGTTGTATGGCACCAACCCCAATGATTGAGCTAACCCCTTGCAATCGTCAGAAACTCAGAATCCCCAAGAAACACAGCTGGGCAGATTCCGAGCTTCACTGGCAAACGGGCCAAGAGATGTTTTTCACTGGTCCAAGGTGGTCGCCCACAATCGGCCTCCAACTTTTAGATTGGACCATTAGGCTTGAGGCCGTCGCTAGTAGGTTGGAGGCCGTCGCTAGTAGGTTGGAGGCCATCCCTATGAGGTTGGAGACCGTCGCTAGTAGGTTGGAGGCCATCACTATTAGGTTGGAGGCCAACATTATTAGGTAGGAGGCCGTGGCTAGTAGGTTGGAGGCCATCGCCAGTAGGTTGGAGGGCATCGGCATTAGGTTGGAGGCCATCGCTAGTTGGGTGGAGGCCAGTAGGTTGGAGGCCAGCGTTAATAGGTTGGAGGCCATCGCTAGTCGGGTGGAGGCCATCGTGAATAGGTTGGAGGCCGGCTAGTAGGGTGGAGGCCATCGCTATTAGGTTGGAGGTCACCGCTAGTAGGCCGCTAGGTTGGAGGCCGCCTAGTAGGGTGGAGGCCATTATGCTATTAGGTTGGAGGGCACCGCTAGTAGGCCCTATAGTAGGTTGCAGGCCATCGTTAATAGGTTGGAGGCCATCGCTAGCCGGGTGGAGGCCATCGTGAATAGGTTGGAGGCCGGCTAGTAGGGTGGGGGCCATTGCTATTAGGTTGGAGGCCACCGCTAGTAGGCCCTAGTAGACTTCGTTGTGCCTTTGTTTCTTGTCTTTCTTCATCAATTAAACTTAATTGGACCTTTCCTCACTTTTTGTTTTATATTCTTTGTGTACCTTTTGTATATCCGTTTTCTTCCTTTCTTCCATTTGTCTGTCGCACCTCTTTTGTCAATCTGAACGAACAATGTGCCAACTAGAATGGTTTAGATCCGTTTTGGAGGCTTCCCTGTAAACGACCTTAGACTTTCCTAGCTTCTTTTTCCGAGCTGCAAGGGATTTCTCTTCCGCTCGTCTGGCACGTTGGGATCCGTGCGCTGCCGCAGCAAGGCCCTCACGAGCTCGTCGTCGCCCCGCTCGCAGGCTGTGTAGAGATCCTGGGATTCGGGATCGAAGAGTTCTCGAAGAAAGAGCCGAAAAGAACATACGGAGGTAAAAATGGGAAAAATCCGCCCGCACTGGAGGTGCCGAGGGCGTTGTGTAGGCTCGTGTAAGTCGTAAGGAATCCGGCTAGATAAATCCTAAGCTTTAGCTTGGGGGGGGGTGCATTTTTCTCCTAGAAATGCTGTGTTTTTCAATGCTTTTTGAACAGTGACCAAAATTGGACCAGACGTTGGCGATGCCGGTTATGCCGGTCGGGACAGACCGCATTATTGACATCGCAGACGTCTCGGCAAGCGAAGGGGCACTGCACTATGGATATGCGATGCCGGTTATGCCGGCCGGGGGAGACTGCGTTATGGACATCGCAGAAATCGCAAATGTCTAGGCAAACCGCGGGACACTGTACGATTGATATCGTGGATGTGTTTGGTCGTGTGCCCAGTCCGACTAGATGAGGTGAATGGTATTGAGCATGTGGCTTTTGATGTATTTTTGGGGGGAACAATCGCATATGCGGAGCTGCGCGCCGCGTTTTCGTCAACATCACACCTTATCAGAATGGCGGGGCGTCGGAGATCGTGCGATAAGTGTTGCGATTGTTTTCTATGCTGAGGACGTGGCCCGTAGAGAATTGTGCCTGGCACGGAGCAAGCACAGCAACGGCATATGTTCTGTGACAAAAACAGAAGGAGGCACTACAAATTTGCGATGTGTGTGTGTGCAGTATACCAATTGCTTTCTATGCTGGGGATGTGGCCCATAGAGAATTGTGCCTAGCACGGAGTAATCACAGCAACGGGACTTCTTCTTCGACAAAAACAGAAAGAGGTACGACAAATATGTGAGGTATTCCCGCAGTAGCAATTGCTTTCTGTGCTGAGGACATGGCCCATAGAGAGTTGCGCCTGGTGCGGAATATTCCACGTTGTGACAAAAAGCAGTAGCACTGTGCTTACCGTGGCCGCAAGAACGGAAAAGGCAAAGCTGCCTTTGTTTGTCTTGATGGGCATAGAAGTCCCGAGGGGTAGCCTAGCATAGGCCCTATCATAGGGGGGGTCCTAATAGGCCTAGGGCCAGCCCGGGGCTAGGCTCCTAGGGCTAGGATAGGCCCTATCATATAGGGGGGGTCCTAGGGCTAGGATAGGCTGGGGCGGGAGAAGAAACCTTGAGGTTGAGGGTAGGTGACGAAAGCTAGCAGGGATGCATCCGTGCCAGTGGAGGCGAAGCATACAGCGCCGTGCATGAAGCACGCGCCCTTGCCCGTGCATACGTCTACCATGCACGCTTCTGCGCTACGAGAGCATGCTTCTGTCCGAACCGTTTCTCCGCAGGCCTTTCTGTGCGTCCCTCGCCCTCCCTGCGCTCCTCCTTCCCACTCGCCGCGGGTATTCAGCATGCCACCGCAGTGCCCCGCCATGGACGCCGCAGCTCCGTGTGAGGGGGATCGGATTTTGCTGCTGCGTGAGCGCTGGCTGCGTCTCCGGCTGTCGGGGAGAAGGATGTCGAAGTGCGAGAGGCACGACTGGCCTCTGGAGGTGCTTGGCTGGGGCACGCGGGATCAGTCCATGCATGGGCCTGGAGGAGGAGTTCCAGGCGGAGCGCGGCACCGTGTCGATGCCTCGACACTGCCGTACACCCGGACATTCTTCACGGACGTTGTCCAGCTTCGACTACTGCCAACGCCGGTCCCCTACAAGCGGCTCCCGGGAATGACGACGTGGGCCCGCTTTGTCGCCCCCCCCCGCCCGCTACTGCTTCGCCTGCGCGTCCGCGGTGGCGCTCGGGGTGCTGCGCGCCCTGTGAAGGCCTTCCAGTGGAGACCTCCGTTGCGCCGAAAAAGGGCCGCTTCTGCCGCCGGTTGTCGTGCCTCGACGGCGTCGAACGCAGCCTTGGTTCCGGGGGCTCCTCTCCACTGTACCTCTGCCCTCGCCCTGCAGCCGTTTTTCAGAGAGACACTCGGTCAGCCCGCTTCACCCTCCTGCTCGTCGTCATGCAGCTCCTGCAGCTGCCATCGAGTGGGTTTCTGCGCGTGCTGCCCATGTGCTCCTTGGCAAGCGTCCTCCAACTGGCTTGATCCGCCCGGTTGCCTCGCTCCAGCGATGGTTATGGGAATCGCATCCTCTTGTGCTGCGGCCGCGCCCTCCTGCACATCGTGGCTGTGCGCACTGCTGCTGTTCAATGGGAAGGATTTCGTTGTCCACCCTTTCTTGGGTACCACACGCCTCTCCTGGGACCCGGACTACGCCAGGCCTTGCTCCACGCCAACGCGGACTCCTTCGCGGCCGCGCAGCTGGCGCCCTTGCTGCGCGGGAGCAGGGTCTCCGTGCGCTGGCTTGCGGGGAACTACGGGGAGATCCTCTTCGTCTTCTTCGCGCTGGCTAATTTGGAGGGAGCGTTGGTGTTTCCCATCGCTCGCGCCGACCGGCGCGGAGGAAACCCGGGCTGGTTCGCCTGCTCAAGTGCAAAGGGTCGTTGCGGGTGCCCGCGCTTGCCTTCGACGCCCTCTTTCTCCCCCGTCAGACCCCCGCAGCATTCTGCGACCGAGGCTCCGCCACGCGGGTGTGAGGCACGTTGGGTCGGACGCCAGACTCCGCTGACTTTCTCGCGGGTACCTCGCCGTCCCCTGCGCACTGACCGCAGCGTCGTGGCCCCTGGGTATTGAGTGGGGTGGTGGGCAGGGGGTATAGAGCAATAACATTCTTGGGAGATGGCGGCTGGGTATTGAAACTGGGTCGGTTGGACGGGCAGGGTGAGGCCGGGCCATATCGTTTCTGGTGGATGGCACCGCGATAAGGCGGATGTGGTGCGGGACACGCAGGGCAGCGGCGGGCCGGGACGTCGTCGGCGGACCGGAGCACGCCGTCCAAAGCCGGAGTCCGCCGCTAGATCGGAAGCCATGCGCGGGGCGCCCAAAACGTCGATGTTTGGGGCGCCCCTCTCGGTGTGAAATATACATTGTACTTGAACTGTCGTCCAATCCTGAATGGTAGATGAGAACTCCCCATTGCGGGCGTACGCGCATGGACACATGTAAAGAACCGTGTCCCAAGTTACGCTGCTATTGGCCACACCTGAAAGACCGAGGCGCGATCGAAATCGTGGGGAATTGGTCCAATTTGACCCGCTTCCTTCGTAACTGCACAGGGTTTCCGGGTTCTTATGGTCCGTGAAACCATCCAGATCCGTCGCTGGGCGACCGGAAGATTCAGTCGTTCGCTGTTCTCGGGAGTTGTTTCTTCCCCGCAGGACTGATTGGGCTGAGGGCGCTCAGCTCACTGGTACCGGAACTTGAACAGCTCCGGCAGAAAGCAGCGCCAGACGTTTTATATTTTTTTCGTGATGTTTGCTGCGGATGAGACTGTATGGGGAAGATCAGAGTCGTGTAGCTATGGGTTTGGAACCTTTTCACGAAAGCTAGCGCCAGCTAGCTGGAGTTTTCCTTGCTTTAGCAAGTGAGGGGCTGGAATCCTCGAGATCGCCGCATCACGTGAAAACTTCATATGTAGAGGGGGGCCCCTCCACCTCTTGGACACCTGTTATGGCATCCACTTTGGTTCAACTCCTCCGTGGAGGTTTTGGGATACGATGCAACAGATTCAACAGATTCACGAGCAAAGGTTGCCTGTGTCATCACTGTTCGTGCGCCATCCCTCCAACACCCCCACGCATATGAAAAAAGATTTGCCTCGCTCTGCTTGATGTCCTACCAGTCCTTTGTCACTGGACGGCGCTGTATGCTTTGCCTCCACTGACACGGATGCACCCCTGCTAGCTTTCGTCACCTACCCTCGGCCTCAAGGGTTTTTCTCCCGCCCCTATGATAGGGCCTATTCTAGCCCTAGACCATCCCTATGATAGAGCCCTAGGTTTAGGACCCCCCCAATGATAGGGCCTAGCCCAGCCCTAGGACCCCCCCTATTTTAGGGCCTAGGCTAGCCTCCTAGCCCTGGGAGCCCCGCTATGACATGGCCTACCCTAGCCCCAGGACCCCCCCATGATAGGGCTATGGATTCCCTAGGACCCCCCCTATGATAGGCCCTATGCTAGCCCTAGGAATTCCCGCTATGATAATCCCTAAAACCCCCTATGACCTACCCTAGCCCAAGGACGCCTAGGGTACCCTAGCCTTGCCCCTTGAAGGGAAGCCCTATCATGGGACTTCTATGTGCCTTGATGGGACGTGAGGGCGTCCCGCGGAGCTTTTGCAAAAAAGAGGCTCCGCGCCTGCTCAACTAAGCCCTGGCCCACTGCATGCGCTCTGCCCACAACCATCAGATGACCCCTCCCCCTTCTGACTGCCTCTTCACACTCGAGCCCGCTATCAATACTTTCCCGGCTCCGAGAGCACAGGTTGCTGCAGACCAATCCTGGGGGGCCATTTGATCACCAAAAACAAGGTCGAAGGTCAAATGGCCCTTTGGACACAAAAAACCGGTATGGCCGTGGGAATTTATTTGGCCGTGAAAAAGCCGGTAAGGCCGTGAACAAGTGTGCATTTGGACGTGAAAAAACGGCTCTTGGCCGCGAAAAGGCGTGAAACGTAAACTCAAGGAGTTGAAGCCGTGAAAAAACCACATGGCCGTGAAAACGGGCAATGGCTCGCGCCCACTACCCCAGGCAACACTTTCCCGGCTCCGAGAGCACAGGTTGCGATCTGTGCGGCGAAGCGGTGTGAATTAGTTTCTTGCTCCTAGTAGGTCCTAGTAGTAAGGCCAGGAGCCCCTAGTAGCGTCCTTGCTCCTGGTAGTAAGGCCAGG